TATAATAATAAAGATTAGAAGAACAATACTGTGAATGCTTTTCAAGCATTCACACTAACTAGAAAGTGCATTTTCTGAAGAAACTGCAGTGTGAATGCTTGAATCTGAATGTATGCACTGAAATGAATTAATTGCTGAATTTTGAGTTAAAAATATTGAATGAGATTAAAAAAAAACAAAAAAAAAACAAATTTAACCTGAAAACAAAAGTGCTGAACTGCTAAAAGCTGAAGGTTACACAGAAGAAGAAGTTGGAAAAAAGCTGAAAATGTTTTAATTGTAAATTAGAAAAACCTAAGAAATGAGAAAGAACATTTAGAGTCAGAAACATCTGAATGAATATTAAAAGGTCATATTCTTTGAATCACTGAATGACTAAAATGTGATCCCTCCACTTGGACCCACACAGTTTAAAAAGTTTACATCTCTGAGCTTTGAAAGACAAGATGTTGGAAAAGAACAACGATGGCGACGTTTTGAGGGTAAAATGATGGCTTTAACACTGTGGACACAGCAGCAGTTGAAAGAGAAGTGTTTAAGATGAATTTTGGCAGAGTGGCAGGCAGAGCTCGTTAAGCAGGCAGGTGTGAGCCTGGTTGCTATAGTGACCGCACCCAATGGCTCCATACACACGCACACAGACATGCACCTCACTTTTGCTGCTTAAAATGAACAGAAAAGTCAGGCCGAAACAAATCGCTCCCAAATGAAAAGTAAAAGTCGTATTGACAAAATTCTTTCACCGTGAGCGACAGCAATGTCTAGTCTACCTAATTCTCAGTTTTCATGTCTGTGGAGTTTATTATATGGACGTGGTGACAGTGGAAAGACACCATGCTCTTCTGATTTTCAAACGAACCTTCTGAGCCATTTTAACATTAGAGTCTATGGAAGAGTTGGAGGGAGGAGGCTGTGCATTGGTGACATTTATGAAAGAACCACAACACCTAGTACAATAGTAAACACATTGGATGAAAGAGGACAGCCATGGCTACGTTTTGAGGGTAAAATCATACCTGTAGAGCAAACGCTGTGGACACAGCAGCAGTTTTAAAAAAGATTTTAAGATTAATTTTTTTGCTCCTCTCACTCTAGCAGTTGAGCTGCCTCACTCTAGCCCCAACATTCCGTCCCATACACACCCATTATAAACTCTGAAACGGGTGAAAAAACATCATGAAACTTAAACTGGAACTGAAGAAAAAGTATAATAGATATTGAAAAGATAAATACAAGTTGAATAGTTGAATGTCTTGTCTTCGTTTTAAAGTTTGAATGGTGGCTCTATGTCAATGTATGTGGAAGTAGTAAGAGTTTAAAAATGAGTAAGTTGAATGAGGATTTGAAGGGTCTCCCCATTGAAATACATTATAAATTTTTGTTGAATAAAGTTGAATAAAATTAAAAATATAAATGTTAAAAATATGAAAAATAGAAGCAGTGTTGTCCAAAAGAATAGGAATCTAACGGTGTTTGAATGGTTTTTCTAAGTTGAACGGTTTTGAAGTTATAGGATTACAAAAAACGTACGGAATAGATAAAATATAATAATAATAATAACTAGAAAGTGCATTTTCTGAAGAAACTGCAGTGTGAATGCTTGAATCTGAATGTATGGACTGAAATGAATTAATTGCTGAATTTTGAGTTAAAAATTTTGAATGAGATAAAAAAAAAAAAAAAACAACCTGAATTTAACCTGAAAACAACAGTGCTGAACTGCTAAAAGCTGAAGGTTACACAGAAGAAGAAGTTGGAAAAAAGCTGAAAATGTTTTAATTGTAAATTAGAAAAACCTAAGAAATGAGAAAAGAACATTTAGAGTCAGAAAACATCTGAAAGAATATTAAAAGGTCATATTCTTTGAATCACTGAATGACTAAAATGTGATCCCTCCACTTGGACCCACACAGTTTAAAAAGTTTACATCTCTGAGCTTTGAAAGACAAGATGTTGGAAAAAGAACAATAATGGCGACGTTTTGAGGGTAAAATGATGGCTTTAACACTGTGGACACAGCAGCAGTTGAAAGAGAAGTGTTTAAGATGAATTTGGCAGAGTGTCAGGCAGAGCTCGTTAAGCAGGCAGGTGTGAGCCTGGTTGCTATAGTGACCGCACCCAAGGGCTCCATACACACGGACACAGACATGCACCTCACTTTTGCTGCTTAAAATGAACAGAAAAGTCAGGCCCAAACAAATCGCTCCCAAATGAAAAGTAAAAGTCGTATTGACAAAATTCTTTCACCGTGAGCGACAGCAATGTCTAGTCTACCTAATTCTCACTTTTCATGCCTGTGGAGCTTATTATATGGACGTGGTGACAGTGGAAAGACACCATGCTCTTCTGATTTTCAAACGAACCTTCTGAGCCATTTTAACATTAGAGTCTATGGAAGAGTTGGAGGGAGGAGGCTGTGCATTGGTGACATTTATGAAAGAACCGTAACACCTAGGACAATAGTAAACACATTGGATGAAAGAGGACAGCCATGGCTACGTTTTGAGGGTAAAATCATACCTGTAGAGCAAACGCTGCGGACACAGCAGCAGTTTTAAAAAAGATTTTAAGATTAATTTTTTGCTCCTCTCACTCTAGCAGTTGAGCTCTCTCACTCTAGCCCCAACATTCCGTCCCATACACACCCATTATAAACTCTGAAACGGGTGAAAAAACATCATGAAACTTAAACTGGAACTGAAGAAAAAGTATAATAGATATTGAAAAGATAAATACAAGTTGAATAGTTGAATGTCTTGTCTTCGTTTTAAAGTTTGAATGGTGGCTCTATGTCAACGTATGTGGAAGTAGTAGGAGTTTAAAAATGAGTAAGTTGAATGAGAATTTGAAGGGTCTCCCCATTGAAATACATGGGAAATTTTTGTTGAATAAAGTTGAATAAAATTAAAAATATAAATGTTAAAAATGAGAAAAGTAGAAGCAGTCATGTCCAAAAGAATAGGAATCTAATGGTGTTTGAATGGTTTTTCTAAGTTGAACGGTTTTGAAGGAGTAGGATTACAAAAAACGTACGGAATAGATAAAATATAATAACTAGAAAGTGCATTTTCTGAAGAAACTGCAGTGTGAATGCTTGAATCTGAATGTATGCATTGAAATGAAATAATTACTGAATTTAAGTTAAAAATTTTGAATGAGATAAAAAAAAACAAAACCCGAATTTAACCTGAAAACAAAAGTGCTGAACTGCTAAAAGCTGAAGGTTACACAGAAGAAGAAGTTGGAAAAAAGCTGAAAATGTTTTAATTGTAAATTAGAAAAACCTAAGAAATGAGAAAAGAACATTTAGAGTCAGAAAACATCTGAAAGAATATTAAAAGGTCATATTCTTTGAATCACTGAATGACTAAAATGTGATCCCTCCACTTGGACCCACACAGTTTAAAAAGTTTACATCTCTGAGCTTTGAAAGACAAGATGTTGGAAAAAGAACAACGATGGAGACGTTTTGAGGGTAAAATGATGGCTTTAACACTGTGGACACAGCAGCAGTTGAAAGAGAAGTGTTTAAGATTAATTTTGGCAGAGTGGCAGAGAGAGCTCGTTAAGCAGGCAGGTGTGAGCCTGGTTGCTATAGTGACCGCACCCAATGGCTCCATACACACGGACACAGACATGCACCTCACTTTTGCTGCTTAAAATGAACAGAAAAGTCAGGCCGAAACAAATCGTTCCCAAATGAAAAGTAAAAGTCGTATTGACAAAATTCTTTCACTGTGAGCGACAGCAATGTCTAGTCTACCAAATTCTCAGTTTTCATGTCTGTGGAGTTTATTATATGGACGTGGTGACAGTGGAAAGACACCATGCTCTTCTGATTTTCAAACGAACCTTCTGAGCCATTTTAACATTAGAGTCTATGGAAGAGTTGGAGGGAGGAGGCTGTGCATTGGTGACATTTATGAAAGAACCATAACACCTAGTACAATAGTAAACACATTGGATGAAAGAGGACAGCCATGGCTACGTTTTGAGGGTAAAATCATACCTGTAGAGCAAACGCTGCGGACACAGCAGCAGTTTTAAAAAAGATTTTAAGATTATTTTTTTGCTCCTCTCACTCTAGCAGTTGAGCTGCCTCACTCTAGCCCCAACATTCCGTCCCATACACACCCATTATAAACTCTGAAACGGGTGAAAAAACATCATGAAACTTAAACTGGAACTGAAGAAAAAGTATAATAGATATTGAAAAGATAAATACAAGTTGAATAGTTGAATGTCTTGTCTTCGTTTTAAAGTTTGAATGGTGGCTCTATGTGAACGTATGTTGAAGTAGTAAGAGTTTAAAAATGAGTAAGTTGAATGAGAATTTGAAGGGTCTCCCCATTGAAATACATGGGAAATTTTTGTTGAATAAAGTTGAATAAAATTAAAAATATAAATGTTAAAAATGAGAAAAATACGAGCAATCATGTCCAAAAGAATAGGAATCTAATGGTGTTTGAATGGTTTTTCTAAGTTGAACGGTTTTGAAGGAGTAGGCTTTCAAAAAACGTACGGAATAGATAATAATAAAATGGAATAATAAAGATTAGAAGAACAATACTGTGAATGCTTTTCAAGCATTCACACTAATAAAGATTAGAAGAACAATACTGTGAATGCTTTTCAAGCATTCACACTAATAATAAAGATTAGAATAACAATACTGTGAATGCTTTTCAAGCATTCACACTAATAATAAAGATTAGAATAACAATACTGTGAATGCTTTTCAAGCATTCACACTAATAAAGATTAGAAGAACAATACTGTGAATGCTTTTCAAGCATTCACACTAATAAAGATTAGAATAACAATACTGTGAATGCTTTTCAAGCATTCACACTAACTAGTTAAAATACATATTAGAAGAGGAAATAAGATAAAAGAAAGGATGCGCAGCTGGCCTGAAAGATCGACGTCAGGGCTGAAAAAGAAAAAAAAAGGAATCTTGGTTGTCACGGCAACGTTGTGTATGATCGAGCGAGTGCCAAATGAGCGTGAAAATAGTTATAAGTAGGAGTACCTATAGCTAACTTTTCTTCACTGGAAAACAATGGGAAGGGTGAAACAGCGAGCTATTTCAGTCAGGGGAGGCCTGAAGTACTAAAGCGGAGAGCGATGTCAAGTCATAACCTGCCACCGGTGCGCCATTTGCCACACTTGACCAGAGTAGGGCGGCTAGAGAAGCCTTGCTCGCTACGACGCTTACCGGCTAACCCTGAACAGCGGCTCCCGCTACCTGTTATCAAGCCAGCGGGCAGAGCAGCGGCAGAGACGTCCTGTCAGAGCGGCAGCACGGACCTCCGGGTTGCTTCACTGCAAAGAAACGTCCAGTTCCTACAAGAACAGCACAAGGAAACACTGAAGAAGCTCCACGCAGAGATAGAGAACCTCAGACGGGAGAATAAAGGTGAAGAAACAGTGCATTCATAACTCTTGTATGTGTAAGTTAATTATTTGTAAAAGCATAGAAGTCAGTGACAGCAGTCCTGCCATAGGTCTTTTTAAAAGCAGTAAAAGCAGAATGCTTTGTGGAATGAATGAAGTAAGCAAAAGTAAGTTTTCACATGCCTTTAATTAATGCTGTAATTTGGCCTTTCTGAGATTTTTTAATAGTGGATAGTTAGACAGATAGAGCACTCAATTATTCCCTGTGGGGAATTTTGAAGGGTTGTGGCATTCAAGAAACCACCCTATTTCATGGCTCACAAAGTCAAATAATTATCTAAAGAATTCACAGAGTCTGTGACTCCTGTCTCCTGACAAGGTGCGGCAAGACAAGGTCAGGCTAGGTATGGTGGACGCATGGCAACTCCAGGGTTTAGTTTTAATGATTTCTCAGTGGGAGGTGGGCAGATATCCGGTGTCACTTTGCAGAGCGAGCCGCATGCTGTTCCATATAACAACATGTCACCACCCACCAGGAGACTCCCCGGTCATTCGTCGTTGCATCCTTGCTGCAGCAAGGCCTGTTTTGACTCATGGGTTGCTTACTGGTTGTTTAAGCCCACCTGCAGTGTACAGTACATTAAAGTTCTGTTGTTATGGATGTTGCAGAGTTGAAGTATAAGGTGATAATGGAGCCTCCTAAGTCAAGTAGAAAAGGTAACATGTTTAAGCACATGTAATGACTTATTAGGTTTTCATTTAGGTGAATTTCAATGTGCCACCTAAACTTAATGTCTGATCCTTCTTCTTCTACGAGTTGCACACAGTCGACAAAACTGTAGACCACCCACTCAGGGCAGTCAAGCCCATACTGGACTGTACATGGAGGAGCCACTGCAGGACACGAGACTCTTGCAGGACCAGGCTCTCGGGTGAGTGGTGGGCCTTTTTCAGCTACTTATCTAGCTCAGTATTTACAAGGTGTGGTTATATTTCATAAATGATCTTAGCTCCCCCCCCCCCCCCCCCCTTTTTTTTTTCAAAGCTATGCACACAAGAACTGATGGATAAATTAGATTCAGATGCAGTAATATGGATATGATGGCACAACAGCCATTCATTAATAACTTACTAAGCAGATACTCAGATAAGCTCAGATAACAGGCTACTGTAAGGCAACCATCAAAAGCAGGAGAACACTAATTCAAGCTCTGTGTTTTAATCACTTTACAGAAAAACAAGATGTCAGCTGTCTCATATTAGGTAGTGATGTAGGTGCACAAGTATTATAGTGCATGTTAAATTAACACTATAAAACAGCATGAGGATATGAACGTGAAGCATGTAAAGAAGCAAAAGCCAGTATGTAATTAGTTATTTGTTGGTCTGGTCTGCAGTCTGAGCCCTTTGATTTCTGGAATATGTGCCTTTTTACATGTCTATAAACTTCTTGACCTGTTAGTACCAGGTTGGCTTTTGATCTGGTGACTGTGGAGGCCATTTGAGTACAGGAATCCACTGTCAGGTTCAAGAAAGCAGTTTCAAATGATCTGAGCTTTGAGACATCATGAATTATCCTGCTGGAAGCAAAGTGGGCTAGTGAATTGAACCTAGTCCCCTGTCTGTGAGGGGGTGGGGGTGGGGGGAGTTAACAACCAGGTATTCTCAACCTAAACTGCCTTATACATGTTATACATCGCCCTCAATGACATTATCTCATTGACTTGCAGTAGCATTGGAGCAAGCACTGAAATTCTGGATTCAGCCAGGCAGGACCATGGCACGGAGGCCAATGGGCGCCTCATCACTTCACTGCAGCCTCTCCGAATTAACAGCAGTTCCTCCCAGCCCCCACGGGCCCCCACACTACAGGAGTGTGAGATCATCATCCGACAGCTATATAATGCTAACAGCTTACAGTCTCAGGAGGTAAGTGCCTGAAGGGCAACGCTTAGCTATTCAGTGTTTTAGTAGCTCTGTTTGTTGTGGCTTTTAAAATAGTTACTTAAAGTACAACCCTGTGTCATCTAGATCGTGCGTGTGAAAGCACTGCTCAGAGACATCGTTTCAAACAAGAAAATCACCCCAGAAAACTACATCATGGCTAAGGCCTACCTTTCAGATGGAACTCGGTGAAGTGGCATTATCATTTTCATCATCAGCGACATACAAAAGCCTTCAAAGCAGCAAAATTATGATAACAGTTTCTAATTTTCTTTGTGTGTTTCAGCGGGTCTTTAGAAGAAAACAAATTACCAAAACTTGGCCTTCAGTCATTCCCAGAAAAACAGTATGTAATTTTGTCTGATTTTGTATTCTGTCACAGTGCACAAAACAGATTCCTCAAAGCCCTGTTGTGCTAATTTTCACAAAACTTGGTTGCATAATAGCCCAGAGATGCCTTTTGCAAGAGAGATCGAGGTTTCTGAGTCAAAAAGAAAAAGAAGCCAAGCATGTTAGTCACCCAGAGTTAAATCCACATATCATTTCCCAGGTGTGGAACATCTCAGTCTGGGGTTGTCTTCCCTGCCCTCAAACAGAGCCTTGGCTACAACATTGCAGATAGACAGAAGAGGTCCCGTGCTGTGCAGAGAGACCGTTTGAGAAGGGCTGTTCAGTGACAGGAACACAAATACCAGAGCATATTTCTGTGGTATATAATGAAATAAAGCATTTCTGATTGATGATGTTTTATGATGTCATAAAGTTGAGCAGGATAGAGTGGTCGCAGCAGGAATCGCACAACACTTAGTCAATGACGGCCCAGTTGGATTACCTCTTCCAGTAAGCCTTGCCAGTGTGAAGCAGCATGCCGTACGGAAGCGCCTCCCTTAAGTGGAATGCAACCATCATTAACACACCTGTGTGCTTCCTGTCATGGCATGTCAAAATGTCTGCTGCTCGGGAAAAAAAACCCTATACAGACACGTCACGTTTATTGACAATTATTGCTCATAATGATGTGTAAGATGGACAGATAACACAAATAATGCTCTATAAGGCCTGGATTTTTTTAGTTTTTCTACATAGCAGAAGGACTGATTTCAGCTTTTCACTGGGAATTTTTTTTTTTCAACCATTGAGTTTCAGGACATTTGTGGCTTGTTGTCACTTCACAAAAAAGCAAGCATAAAAGCACACTTTGTTTTTCATAAAGCCACTTTTTTTTGTCATTCAGTGTGCTAAAGAGCAGTTTAATGATTTTTACTGGCCAAGCATTAGTATTTAATCATTTACAATTTGAGTTTAAGCATAAGGATGAAAGGGTATAAATGTCCTCTGCACAAGACAGTGCTGTTCTTTTAAATTTTTCCCTTTGCGCCTGACTCTTCGGGATACTGTTCCTTTTAGTGGACCAATCGTGTGGAGAGTTATTTGCATGCTGAGTGTCGTATTTGAGATATAATGACACAAAATAGGCAACAGGTGATCCTGCCTTAAATAAATGTCCTATTGTTATGTTAGCACTGGTTTCTAAGGTCATACACCACTGCAAACACTGGATTTGTCAGTTTAAGAGAAGTGAAATGTCACTTAGGTTTTGATCGCTGAAGATTTGCCAAAGTGCGCAGTTTACGGCGATAATTAGATATATTAAGAAATGTATTTAAAGCTTTGATTTCTTTGTTTATGTGGAGCATTACTTGTGTTTAATTAAGCCCAACTGCGGTCCTCTTTACATGGTTTATGAGTCATTTTGTGCTTCACAGGCTGCGATCCCTTTATTCCTTCTCTCTAGAAGAACCCTCACAGGCTCCTTTAGTTGCTGATTCATGCATAACATCTATATTGGACATGTATTTATAGTATAAACACTGCATAAAGTTGAAACAGAATAAAATAAACAAGCCGTGGTGTGCCTTTTTATTGAACTTGCTTGTCATATGAATGCTGCGCTGAAAACAAGGAAGTTAAAATAACCAAAAGGAGAATTGGCCACTCGACAGGCCTGGCTACAGCAACGTTGTCAGTTCTGCTAAATTAGGCCGTGGTCTTGTATTAACTCTTCACTAACTGAATGAAAAAATAATTAGTGAGAACAAAAAAGTTTAGAAAGTTAAGGTAAGACTATGAGCATGCAGTTGTCACAGGTAATGTTATGTGATATTGTAAGAAACAAGAGAAAAGTGTGGTTTCTTAAAGTTTTAGAAATGCTATGAGGAAGTGGCTTGTTTAAAAACATGTGAACCAAAGCAACAACAAACTGAAACATGAGGAAGTAATGAAGTGGGTGAAAATTCTTTGTCTGAAGCCTTTATTGTGAACCTGGTGTACCTGTAGAAATCTAGAAGTATTTAAAGATATCTATGGATATCTATCTATCTGTCCATTTAGTAGCATGTAAACAGGTTTCCCTTTACACCTTTACAGAAACCTGACTGGATATTCTAGGAAACCAGGCTGAGAGGTGAAAGGTGACTCATGCCATGGAGGCTGTAACAGTGAGTCGCTCATCTATATAAACCCTTACACTGGTCTAAAAATGCACTGACACTTTAACAGCAGCATCTCGTGCCATAATTACCAGTGTACTGCTTGTCTGTTGTCAGTCTTCACATCAAAGCATGCTCAACTTTGAATTGAATGCCGGTGACAACGATCAGGAACGTGATAGGATGTTAAAATAAAATATAGGAGAGGCTAAGTATTTCAGAAGTGAAGGCTGGGAGGGGGTTCGCCACACTTCCAGAGACTGCATGGATAGAGGATACAGAGATTTTATAATATATGGTAAAAACTTAAGAGGATCTTGTTCCTGTATGTCTGTATGTGTGACCCTGGGCAGGATTTGTCAAGGTAAACTCTGTGTTTGTGTTCTGGCACATGAGAGCAAGGTTGCAACTGTGCTCAGGAGCTTTAGTATCTATAATTTATTCAAAATTAAAATAAAATAAGAAGCTTTTTTTAAGCAAGGTTTAGTCTCAGAGAAACTGACCTTTCCGACACAGGTCTAATCCTGCATCGTGTAATCATCCTCTTCAAAACTTGATTTAAATTATAATTAACTGCAGTTTGCATCACTACACTGGAATTCCTTTAACTTTCTCACAGGATACATAGTTAGGCACAAGCAGTAGATGGTTTGTAAAATGTGTAGGTTTCTTATGAAGTCTTAAGTGTTAGTGGTGTGAATGAATCGGGGGGAAGGGGCATTTATTTGCAGACTAATAGCTTACACACAATCTGACTCCCTGAAATTAAACTGTGGCGATGCTCTCTGCAGTGTCTTAGTGTATTTTTCGGCTGCAGAAGACGCAACGTCTTCTGCAGCCGAAAAATAAGCTGGGTGGAGAGGGGGCCTCTCGGGCCATAATTACTTTTCTTTTTGTTTCGCCTGCGCAAAGAACAAGATCACAGGTTTTGTTCACTAGTTCCTTGTGTAGCAACTCATCAACCACCGATTAGGTCAAGGGTGGTTGTGTCATCTGTGCATTTAATCTTCAGACTGCAGGGCATCGAGACTGAGCTAAAAGAAGCAGCCATTCAAGGTTACTGTGTTGATGTGAGTTTAACAGAGGTCAAACGTTTTATAAGCTATTGCAAAACCAGTTACAGATGGGGTTTTGGGTTGAAGAACCAGCTTTTCTAGGCTTTTCTGCATGTGTGCTGACCTGAAGTTATCCATTTTAGTATGGTGGGTTTTTGTAGCAGCTGGTACTTCAAAAGAGCACTTGAAGGACTGTGGAACTGCTGTTAGGTAGTCAAAATGTCACGTTTCATTACGTTTGGACCTGTAGTATCGCTTAACCTTAACCTGCCACACAGACAGACAACAGAATCTATTGATAATGGGATGATGGCAGACATTGCATTTTGCGTACATCCACTAGATGGTGATGTTTGTGAAGAAACCTTCAGTGTGCATCTACATACAAGGTTAGACAGCAGGTCAGATAAAGGTACTGTATGTCTCACCCTGCAAAATCCCACAAAACCCATCACTTAAATGAAAAGTTGCCCTAGTTTTAAATGCATCAAAGCATGAGGTTGAAGCCAATATAAGCCTTTTTACCCATAATTCGAAGTAAACTAGTCTGTTTTTGTTTCTCTTTTCAATTAGTTGCAGCACTGCATCTTTGTGGAAATGTGGGAGTTGGCAGGCTTAAGCCATTAAGTCTCGGTGGGTGCAAATCTATTAACATTCAGACAGTGTTTCAGTGATGAGAGCTGTTCTGTGCCAGCTGTAGCCTCATGAGGCACGGCCACTGAAAGCTCAGTCACCACAGGGACAGAGCTTCTTTACAGATCCTGCTTTTATCACTGAGCAAAACTTATTCTGCTTGGCTGAATGGCTTGCCGCACTCTGCTTGTGTTCTCAGATGCATTCTTTCTCTTATATTGTATTCTTCTTCTTCAGAGACACTGCCCCTTGCATTTAAATGTGCGCTCTCTCTGCAGCATATTCTGTTTTGGATTGGGTCATTTTGGGTGAGCTCCAAATCGATTTTTCACAGTTCTTTGCCAGATAATACTTATTATCGAATGAATGAAGGGGAAGTTAAATAACACCAGGAAATGAAAATAGGAAATAAGTACAATTTTATACTGGTGGTATGAATAAGTTGACTGAGCAAATATACTGTACCTATGAGCTGCGGTTATGTGGCTAAAAAAGTATATTAAAAACACACGAGCTGACCACTGACTTAAAGGCACAGAACACAAAAAGATCCGAGACAATCATTAAACACAGTACTAACATAAGAACACGTTGTTCGGCAGACATCTAACTTTTTTTTATTCAGAATTATAGCTTATTCTATCTGTGAATCATTTGATAGAGTAATGTTTCTATTTGTAGAAAAAAAGCTCAATCATGATGCTTCTCTTCACACACCTACATAACTACCTGTCAAAAGCACATATATTGGCACTTTCTACTCCACAATACTTCAAAGCTGCAATAGATTGCAAAAAATATGCTCCAGTGTTGTACGGTAAAAGTAGTAGTTAAATTAGCCTAGATTTAACAGAACCAGCTATGACTGTGAAACACTGCCTACACATATTTCCAATTAAGAATCAACTAATGACAGTGTGGGCATTTAAACTGAAATAACACCTCGCTCTCATACACATTTAGTATGTTACAGCAGCCTTTAACATCAGTGTTGCCTACTTAAGACCTGACTGCTTAGCCTCTGCTGGATTGGTTTAGCATTTATTTGAGGTTTAGCCATACTAAACTGTGTTATTATATTTTTGAGTCACACGCTGATTCTCTTTGAAGTTTTGAAAAGCAAACATCCAATTAAATGACTACGTCAAAGCAGGAACACTGAGTAAAAAACACACTTGTATCTCGACCTGCTCCACATTGCTATTTGCACTATATTCCCGAGACGATGGAACAGCAGAAGAATCTATCAGCAGAATGCTTCACTGAGAAATGACTGACACCTACTCTCGCGGAGCTAGGGGCTGTCCGTGGCTTCGCCAACCGCCCACCTCCTTCCTTCACTCCCCCTCCCCTCTCTCTCGCTCCTGCCGTCAGTGACGCGCTGATAGAAAGCGGGACCTGCCCTCCGGTCGCCATTTTTCGACCTCAGTACTTCTGGTAGCCTGTGCTAGTGGGGACGAGCGGAAATAAGGGAAAGTATAAAATAAAGCAATCGTTAAGCCGAGATCCCTTGTGAGCGGTCGGGGATGCGCGCGACAGCTTCCGTAAACGGTCGTGGCTCCTGAGATGCACGCGCAAGAGACGAGTCGCTGCCCTGAAATCATTTTTTTGTGTGAAGACGTGTTGCGAGCCGCCATTTTTCTGCTGTGTTGCCTCAAAAGTCTGCTCCGACTCGAGAAAGGGGATTCGAAAACGCGTTTCCATGAAGTGTGTATCGCCGTGAGCTCCGCGGGATTTCGGCTGATAGTTTCGTGACCTGCCGTGGACCTTTGTGCACAGATGAGGGATTATCAGATGTAAGAAAAAGGAAGAAGAAGGGGGGAAAGTGAGGCCACATTTTCCGCTCTTAGAACTGACACTGACTGGAGGAGATACATTTATTAGAAGAGAAGATTTGGTGTTTTCTCGGAAGGCGGAACGAAAAGGGGAAGCTTCATTGATCGTTTGTTGCTCTGGCCCTCCGTCAATGGTAGCCTGTCGTAAGTTTGCTCGTTTTTCTTCTGTTATTTGGCCCCCTTTTAACAACTGCTCGGCCGCAGCCTGGACTGCTGAACACAGGGACAACAGTATGCTCCAGAGTTGGATCAAGTCACTGGCAGCCTGCATCTGAAAGGAGAAAAAAAAGAAAACAAAAACGCCAAGTTGTTTTTGTTTTTCTTAAACAGATTTTTTCGGTGCCTGAGGCGTTTTGTGAAGAAATCACTCGGAAACTCCTTCCAGAGCGACGAGTGCCCTGCCCTGAGTCTTCCAAATCCTACAGTTTGCTGTGATTGGCCAATTGGAACCACGCATACAGCTTTTAACTTATTGCCTAGCCAATCCTGTAGTATTTTCCTTTCTATTATTATTAATATTAATTTGTAAGCCACATTAACTTATTTTTGAACAGAAATGTCAACTGCTCGATTTGATTCCTCTGATCGGTCCGCCTGGTATTTTGGACCCGTGTCACGACAGGAGGCACAGAATAGGTTACAAGGACAGAGACATGGCATGTTTCTTGTTCGAGACTCGTCGACCTGCCCCGGCGACTACGTACTGTCGGTGTCGGAAAACTCCAAAGTGTCTCACTATATCATCAACTCTTTGCCCAGCAAGAGGTTCAAAATAGGGGATCAAGAGTTCGACCACCTCGCAGCTCTCCTGGAGTTCTACAAAATCCATTACTTGGACACGACCACGCTGATAGAGCCAGCCCCCAGGTAGGGATGTCACCCACCACGCCTCCTCCAGCACTTTACCATACTTTTTTTTTTTTTAATATTTTTATCAGAACTAACCCAGTTTCACTTGGTTATGTCATAAAATCAGCACTATTACCACACATCTAGTTTGCTTGCTTGTTTGTTTGGGGTTTTTTTTTCTTTTAAGTTTTGGTACCACTGGAAAAATAAACCTCACTGAGGATTTGTGTGGTTTTACAACCAAACATGATACCACATTTTGGTAATTGAGGAGTTGGGTAATCGTGTTTGTAAAGGATTTTATTCAACAAATAATGCAGTTTTGTTGTATTCTAGGCTTCACAGTGATAACTTTTAAGGATAACAAATTAACATTTACTTAATTTCCTCATTATTTTTCGTTTTTGCTAAGGTATTCAAGTACGCCGAGTCCTCCTGTCCAGCCCATGGTTGGAGCAGAGGAGAATCTGGAGTATGTGCGGACTCTGTACGACTTCACCGGGAGCGATGCTGAGGACCTTCCCTTCAAGAAGGGGGAGATCCTTATCATCCTGGAAAGACCGGAGGAGCAGTGGTGGAGCGCCAAGAATAAAGATGGACGTGTTGGGATGATCCCTGTGCCCTACGTAGAGAAAGTGGTACGACCTTCACCCCACCCTGTCCAACCTTCTCATGGATCGCGAAACTCCAACAGCTATGGGATCCCTGAGCCCTCCAATGCTCTTGCTCATGCCTATGCCCAACCCCAGACGCCTTCTCCAATGCCCAACGCACCTGGAGCAGTTATCGCTCCGCTACCGTCCATGCAGAATGGCCCTGTCATGGCGAAAGCCATCCAGAAACGAGTGCCCTGTGCCTACGACAAGACTGCTCTTGCTCTAGAGGTATTGTATTTATTTGATCTTACCTGTTTTATTTCTTTGTTTTTGTTTTTTGTGTTTTTTCTAGGCGATCAATGTGATTTCATCATGTTTTAATGCACTGCTCATTTTTATAAAGGATGGATATTGTAATTAAATCATTAGCTTTTCTAAAATCTGTTTAGCTGGACCTTTGATCTGTAACGCAACATCATGCAGTAAATTAATATGCCAGGTAAGGGCCTGGAGTACAACACGCTATAAGCTTCTTTGCCTAAAGCAGCAGTATCCCATCTTCAGTCATTTCTTAATTATTTTTCCATTTGTGCCCAAATAAATCAAAAATGTCTGTGTGCAGCTTAGACTTTTCTACATAAATTAGAGTTTATCACCTCAGTCAAGTTAAAACACTGAAAAAACTTGTGTAGAAATCACAGAAGCTAAGAGGTTTTATAGAAGACTTTGTTTTTACATTTTCACAACCTGACATCTCTCTAGGAGCTGTCAGGTTACTTAAACATAGACAACAATCGCCAATCTCAAGAGTTAACTCTTATAAAAATTAGGTTGTGTGACCAAAGCTTGGAGAGGCTTCTGTGTAAAACGATCACTTCTTTTTATACTAAAATTGCAAAATTAAGTAGTAGAGGGACCTGGGGAAACACCAGTGCCGCCTTCAGTTACCGCAGTAGTTTTGCTGGTTCAATGTGAGAAAGTGTCTACAGATAAGCTTCGCCCTTTCTCAGTCCTTTTGACATTCTAGCCTGTTGATGTGTGCTCACACTAAAAGAATAATAACCAAACTGTGGTTTTAGCATCTTGCTGCTTGCTCTTATCAGGCCCTTCCTGTTTGTTTGAATATAAAAAGTTATTATTACACCAGGAGACTATCTGCAAGTTCACAACTAGCTCTGGACACTGGCTGCACAAAGATGCTTTGGTTATGGGGTGCTGCTGTTCAGTCAGAATACATGAACCACATCTATTTTGTAGCCTTGGATAGTTAAAAAAAACAAAACAAGTTTCTGGCTTTGGATTGGACCAAAAGTCATACAGATATGAGATGGGTGGTTTGAGAGAGCTTAATATGATTCTTGGAATGATGAATAATAAATGCAAAACAAAAGTTTGCAGATGTAAATGGGAGGGTGGGTGGGGAATCTAGTGAAACTCACCACAGCATTGTGGCTTTTGATCACTTGTCTCTGTGACTGAAGCTTACACTCAGTGCTGTCCATCTAAATGCTAACCTGGAAGCGGCTTTGACGAAAGCATTTCTCAGCAGTCTTGCCTTCCTCAGTGGTACGCTGTGGCTAATACAAATCTGCTCTGACTGTGGTGGCATGTCGAAACATGCAATGCAATGCTCAATATGTGCCTCAGAAATATAGTGGGCCTCCAAAACACTCAGCTCCAATAGCAGATTGAGCTGTAGTGTAGTTTTTTTTTTTTTTGTTGGTTTTTTTTATCTTTTTATTTTTCACCCCAGGGGAAGGATGAGAATGCAAGCTATCTTAAAATAGTGCCACTTCCATTCACTCCCATCAGTTTGACAGCAGTTATAGGTGTAAAATAGGGCAGTAGATATGGATACAGAGAAGTACTTCCTCCCTGTGACTCTTTCTTGCACATAAATGAGTGTAAATTGAGCATATCTGAATCCTGCTAAAGGTTAAGCAGTTTTGTGTGTGTGTGTGTGTGGGTGGGGGGGGGGGGGGGGGGGGGTGTTTCGTTGATGTGTTGTTAAGTAATCGACAGCTAATAGCAGTCACCTCAAAAAATGTCCCTAACCTCATTTAGACTCAAACTGCGATGCTGGTTGAGTGCATAAACAAGATGCATCAGCTGGCTAGTGTCTCTGCACCCTTCTGGGCCTGTTGTCGCCCATCTTTTATTAGCACCGAAATGAGATTCCAGCTTCCATTTAATAAATGTTCATGTAACTTACTGTAATAGATAGAAGAGAGGAAGAGACGAGGCCAAGGGACGGCTGTAAAGAAAGACGGGTTGCACCCGAATGAGCAGTCAAGAGTGAGCATGTGAGAACTGAAACTTGAGGCGGGACTGTGTTTGCCGCTTACGTTTTCTCTGTGATCATATGGTGTAGCAGTGAAGCAGCAGATGGAGCCATGGTTAGCAAGAGATGAAATATTAAAGTTAAATGTGGCTCTTCTCGGTACATGCATGATTCCCAAAAGTACATCTGAGATGATTATTGATGCAACAGTGCATTTGTTGGTGCCGGCATAGATGCTCGTATAATGCTTGCTGGCTCGTGTTATTAGTTAAGTGAAGAGTACATTTTCTCTGTTTCTAAGAGATTCCCCAAGCTGGTCTGATGGACCTTCAGGTGAACAGCTTTAGATGTTTTGTCCGGAATCGGAATTAACTCGTTTTATTTTTATTTATTTATTTTTTAATAAACCACCAGAGTCTGGCAAAAAGGAAACCTTGGCCCCTGAAGGCATTAAAAATGTTAACATGTGAGAATAAAAATAAACTTGACCTAACATTTTTTTAAAATGATTATTATTAATCAGGGATTGATTTAAATCCGATTGGCATCCATTTTCATTGTTGCTTCTTTTGTTTCCATTTCATTTATTTATATTTTAGTTGTAAATGTCACAAAACCAAATTTTTCTGTGACACTGCTTTGATTCTTTTTCCCAACTTGTAATCACCGACCTGTGTTCAGGGTGATATGGGTAATGCGTTCCCACGGTTCATCCTAGGTTATGCCATTTTATGTTGTCATCGCAGGTTTTAGAAATTGCCACATCTATTTGCATTGGCGAGCTCCACCTAACTCCAAGTATTAGTTTATTTCAACTGGACATAAGTAACCATAAAGCCACAGGAGGTTTCATTCCCCAACTTTGCCGTGGAAGTACTGTTAATACCTGATGTTGCACAGTGCTAAATTGCAATGGTTGGATTGATTTCCACAGAGAAAAAATAATAATAATGGTAGTTGTTGAAATCTGCATCATAGATAAAGTCTTTGACGTCAGTGCTTCCAGCTTTAGGAACAGAAAGCTCATGGTCAGATACATGTATCACCACTTTGCCACCAGCGCCAGTCTTCCTCAGAGTAAAGTAATGAAACTGTTCCAGATTCAGTGTTGCTGCATTCGTTACATTGTCCATGCAACAAATGCAGATTTGTTTCTTGGCACAGTCTTCTCTCTAGTGTGGATAGTGATAGCCCTTGTACCTGCTTAAAGATGGGCAGCACTTGAATGGTTCAATAGGTTCACTCTGCAGAGTCCTGATTTGAATTCTCTTAACTGAGCTTCATTTAAGGAATCTGCATATTCAATCTAGGTTCTGTGTGTTTACGGTCCTGTGAAGACTTACAAATGTAGACATCCATAAGGTTCTCTGAATGTATATATGGATACAGCTTTAATTACTGCTGGTTAGTTCTCTGGGATACCTTCGCTACTTATGTCTCTCAAAATGTGAATACTGGGGGGGGGCAGCATTCCTTAATCGAAAACCTCCTCCTGGTTATGCTTTTCCTTGTTCATTTGCGTAATCTGCAGCCTTGCTTTTTCTATTTTGCAATTCCCGACAATTTTGGTTTGCAATTTGACTAAACCCCAAGTCACCATTCGCCTGTCAACAAAGCTTTGCTGTTCACAGCTGTCGGTGTGTGCCCCCTTTCAGCCTCTGATTGATACACAGTATACGATCACAGACTCTGGCTATTAATGTGCGTCATAACTTTTGAATGAACTGACGCAGCTTAAAAAGCTTTATTGACTTTTTCTGCTGTACTTTTACAATTACACAACTCCATAACTTCAAGTCATAAAAGGTGATTCCCACAAGAGAGTTTCCTCTCGGTTGGGTCTGTCTTTATTTTTTTATTTATTTATTTTTAAATCTGGAAGCTCTTGGAATTCCAGATTTGTACACCATCTATGGTTTTTAAATATACTGTGTAGCATGCTGCAAAAAGCTCGGCCTAAATGGAGATGATGCTGTAGAAGTTCAAGACAAAGAAGAGCACCCAGAATTTTAAGTATCTACACTTCACCAGTGTTCATTATAGCTAAAGCGGTGTTTCCATATATAGAAGCTGCGACTGGACAAGTTATACTTTCAATATGTTCTATCTACTTGACATAAGGCAACATTTACTAATACTTTTTATGACTGTATACATCATATACTTGTCATTTGAGAGTGACATCGTTGTAGTTCCAAAGTCCAGGACAGGATTTGAAGCTTCATTCAAATCGATGCCACACTGGTGTGCCCTCACATCGTATTTTCAGTCATGGTTTTGATGATGGACTTTTCCCCCCTCCTAATCCTGATAAAGAACATATGGCTTTAACAGATTGGGGTCACACGCAGTGTCACAAACCATCTGAGCGACAGCTCGGCGCTCTTCTGTCATCTTTTAACCTGCGGTGTAATGTGACAGTGGAGATCTGACAGTCTGGGTTTTATTTTAGAAAGCGTGTATTAATAAATCAGACTGGATGTTCTGTAACCTCAATAGGGCTGCCACGATTTGTCGACTAGTCACGATTACGTCGACTATCAAAATCGTCGACGACTGATTTAATAGTCGACGCGTCGTTTGAAGCTTTGTAAGATCCCAAAAGACCCAGGAATAAGTAGCAGGATTTAAGAGTGTAATAACGGACTGAAACAGAAGATGGCAGCACTGCATGTACAAGGATGCCGAAGAAGAAGAAGAAGAAGCAACTTTGTCCCAGAATTCATAGCGCGGCCCAGCTTAGTTTCCAACAATGGCGGTAGCTAGTTAGTTTTAATATTACTCTTATTATTCTTTCTGGGTCACAAAATAAACGTTTAACATATTTTCAGGCGAGAATGTAGCTGTGTAAACCTCAAATATCGGCTCAGTTTATCAGGACACCACATATTTTCAAAAGTGCTCCGACGTTTTCGGAGACGTCTGTTACCCACTAGCTCGATAGCTAGCCGGGGGCTAGGTCACTAGCGCGGTGAGAACACCGGACTCCCGGCAAATTGTTTTCAAACCCACCGCCGTCTTTCGCTACTCAGGTTAAATATATATGAGTCACTTAGATAACTTAAAAATGTTGTTGTTTGGCTTTTTTTTTTCAGTATTTTAGTTGTTCCTGAGTAAATCGGTTTGTCTGAGATTAAAGTTATAGTTTTTAAACAGCTGAATAAACGTCAAGCAGACAGCTGATCATCAGAAGTGTGAGATGCTGGAGAATTTACTCCGGTTTCCTGTTATATTTTAGATAGCAAGGAGTTTATTAAACTCCACCGAGACAATCTGCTAATTTCATTAAAATTGAATAAACTATCATCTTGTCTTTATTTTTAGTTAGCACCTTAAAAGCTTAAAGCTGTAAGCTAATGATAGTTATATAAGAGTAGATGCTGCTGGTGCAATAAGCTGTAGTTTTACGTCCAGTGGATGATGATCTGATTAGTCGACTAATCGCATAAATAATCGGTGACTAGTCGACTATCAAAATAATCGTTTGTGGCAGCCCTAAACCTCAAAGGGTTTATTGTTGTAGTTTGGAACAGGCTTTAAAACAAACATAAGCCACTTGTCATAAGGATTTCGTTTTTTTTAATTGGGCCTATGACTGACTACTGTAAGACACGGATTGTAGTTTTGTTTTACAAGTTTCTGACTAAAATGTTTAAATGGCACAAAACAACTCCCCAATACTGCATCGTGCAGAATGTCTTGTGTGTAATTAGGTTAGACTTTGACACCAGTTCTCCTGTAACTCTGCTTTCTTTTCTCAGGTTGGTGACATTGTCAAGGTTACGCGGATGAACATCAGCGGTCAGTGGGAGGGAGAGGTGAACGGACGGAGGGGTCTCTTCCCGTTCACCCATGTCAAAATCATAGACCCCCAGAATCCAGAGGAGAGTGACTGACCTAGGCGTTCAGCTGAAGCCTCTCTCCCGTATCGCCGAGTACCCGAATCTGCTGGCTGTCTCCATCTTTTCCTGCCAGTGTCACAGTTATGTGCTTGCCTGCTTGGGGCTGTACCATGATAGCAACCCCCCTCCCCCTTTCCTGTTGTTGTTGCCAGCCATTGCAAGGCTTTCTGACTGTTTACAGCTTTGGACATTAGATCCAAACTAAAACCTGACCCCACTTTCCCAGGTCCCTTTTCCCTTATCTTTGTTCCAGGCTGGGTGGCATTTTTGCATTAGTGTTCTTTTCATTTCCAGATCACTGGGCATCAGACTGTGTGTGTGGGTATGTATGTTTTTGTGTATGTGTGTGTCCACAATGGATAGTTAGCATATAACATCACGTCTTTAAAAAAAAAAAAAAAAAGGAAAAAAAAGTTTTCTCTTAATATTTGTTATGTTTGACGTCTTTGGGACTTTCGGAAGTGTTGATGTATGCTTGTTTTGTTGATGTGAGAATATTTGTATGAAATAGGGAAAGAAAGAATTATCCCTATGGACTAGGGAGAGCACTGAGGCAATGAGGAGCTAACCAGCCAGTCATGTTATTTCTCCAAACAATCAAGTCACTGTTGTACCTTAACCATTGCACAAGCACACACTTGTACACATTGGCCATGAGTTATTCAGGTAGACAGATTTTTGTGTGTGTGTGTGTGTGTGTGTTACAGATTAGGAGGAAGTAGAAAGAGATGGGGTGTGTGGAGGATTTGAGTTGGAACATGGCACGGTAGATCTCATTATCCCATCCATTCTACATCCTGACTGGCTGATAGCTTATTTATCTTATGTTACTAAGACATGACACGGCCATGTGACTTCATCATAATTGTTGCTATTTTCTAAATCATTGTCCAATGATTAATTTTATTTTTTTGTTTGGATTTGTTGACATGGATAGTGGGGTAACCTTGCATCTCCACGTTGGTGCCTCTTTACTTGCTTGGAGATCATTGAAGACTAAGACACATTTTAGATTATATGCATTAGGAGTGCCAAGCTTTGAGCAGGGTTTCTAAAGCCAAATAGCAACAGCCCTGGCGAGCACTTTCCACAAGCATCTGACTACAAGGCTAAACATACTAAAAACATAGTGTCCACACAGTGTGGGCATGAGGACTTGAAGCCTTTCCACTGAGATGAAGAACTCAGTGGCGTAGGTCGGGGAAGGAGGAATGTCTGAGCAAGCCAATGAGATCCCATCAATGCCTTTTCAAAGTAAGACAAGTCTTACTTCTAGCGCATGCAATCCCATCTCTGGCCCTTTAGTTTTTATTGTGATGATACTCCTCTCAATGTAGGATTTTTATTAACTTTTTTCAACCAGCTTTATTCCTTGAGTATTTTCGGTCTGCACACCAATTATTCTTCTCCTTCATGCTGAGTAGTAGAAAGAATCTCATCACACCGTGCCACAGCCGATTCTGTCGAGCCGAGGATTAAACAGATGTGCAAACGGTGCAGAACCCCAGGTCTGTGCTGTAAAAACTGATCAATCCCACCCCTGCCCATCCTACCCCCCTCTCTGTCACTTCTTTTAGCGCTTTCTGTTAACAAAAGGAAAAGGAGAAAATCATTGCTCAGCAAACGACTTAGAAATCTTTTAGTTGTATCCCTGTTTTCCTTTTCGGTGAGTTCGTAGTAAGCTATGAAATCAAGTATTTTTGTTAATGAGTGATGTTATTAAAAGTAACCATGGGTGACATTTTAAAAAGGGAAAACGAATAAATGCCTGCTGGTTGCCTCTGTGCATGACCTCTTAGCCAGGGAGATCATATTTTTTTTTGTTTTTTTTCCCCCCTCGCCAAATGCTGCTTGATGTCATTAAATTCCTCATTAAATAAAAGTTTCTCGTTTAATCCCACCTGCTGTGTACAGACGCACCGTGTTGGGGTTTTCCTTGTCAAGCTTAATGAAATCTTACTAATTAAGCAATACACTCTGATAATTTCCCTTTGAGATGAACTTTGCTTTTTCCTCATGCTTCTGAGTTATTTTGTAATGGCATTAACAGTATTACTGTGCTCTCTTCACATATTTTAGGAAAGCTTGTCTTTTACTTAAAAAAAATTGAAAGATTGTGCCTTTTATTTTCTTATTCCATTTACATGTGTTAATATTTCCCATGGTTAACACCTGTGCTGGTAAAGACCCTTTATGTACATAACAAGTAAATAAAAATGTTTACTTCTTTAAGTTTGCCCTCTGGTTCTGTCATCGTGTTAACAGATGGTTGGGTGTGACGCGTGTTGGCTGCGGCTCGACATTAACAGTTGTGTATGTAGAGCGCAGGACAGTTGCTTTTTTTCTTCTTCTTTTTGACAGTTCCAGTTTCGATTCTCCCCGTGCCCAGGAGAAAGGAAGCAATTAATGAATTTTAATGAAGTGCTAATAAAAGACAGTCAGCTGACCCGCAGATGGGGGAATGGAAAAGTTTTCAAGGGCAATGTTTCTGGTGGTCATGCTCTGTTTGTTCCGCACTTTGCAAACCAGGTACTGAGCGGTATAAATCAGCAGGTCCACCAATATTTCTACTTTGTATGTGCTATTATGGCTTCTGTAACAAGGTCTCTGCAAACAGTGTTGTGAGAAATGAGTGCCCTGCTGTCTCTGATGATCCTTTCTGCTGCTGGGGGACAGTACTGCTGCTGATGCGCTTGGCTAAATGCACTAAAATGATTCCTGCCACTGACTAGGACAGGTTAATGGGAATTTAATGATGCTAATAACTTAGCTTGAGCCTACAGACGGTTGCTCGTGTTAGTTTTGTTTATGCAAACCATTACTGCTCTTAACATAGTATCAGGTTTATTTTTTTATTTTTTTTATCTGGTGAATTATGAACAAAACCCAGACATTTTGGCACGCTAATATTTAATCCATCGTGACACATATTCAGAAAAGTGGATATTGTTGCAGTGACCTATACACAGATACAATAACCAGCTCTCATCTTGCATGGAAAGTCCACACCCTGAAACGAATGCTGATGTCCAAGGCACACCAACGAATGTATGTACAAGTATTGAGTGCTACCCTTGTACACAGACAGCAGCGGTCTTCAAGTTGGTGAAACTTACATGTTGTCCATAAAACACTAGAGGTTGAACTGTCCTGTTTGCAGAGTGATGCTTTGTAGCCTTGATTTTTTTTTTTTTTTGCATTTTGACCATTGCGTCAAATGACTCGAGGGGGAATATGGATGCAAGCAGCATTGCGCAAACCCATAAACCTGGCACTAGTTTTTACTAAAAGCTGTTATTGGTAGAGAAAATCTGAGGCGTACTCCTGACCAAATTTTAAATGGGGAGGCTTGAGTGGATAAATATTTGCGAATTTTAATTTTGTGTTGTACCTAGTATTGTCAAGTGATCTAGACTTGCTATGACACAAACCATCAAAAGCAGCATTTCTTTGACACTTCGTGGATATTAATGAAAGTGTACCGGCAAATATGTATCCATATAAGGCAGTTTGAATTTCCACATTGATTCTCTTTGTCCTTTTTGTCTGGATCCCTTGTACCTCATGTGTGGGTTAAGTTGCCATTAAAGCCAATCAATGTATTCCTCTGCACTGTGTAAGGCACAGGCCGCAGCGAGAACGACCATAATGAATCAAACCTGACTGATGCTGACCTCTCTTCGGGGCACAGTGTGCGTTAGTGAGGGTTTAAATAGATGTGCAGCAGGGTCGATAAAGGCCTTCCTACAGTCCATTATGGCCACCGCCCTCAAGCTAGCTGTGATGGCAGTTATTGTGCTGTAGAGCACTTGGCCCGCAGAAGTGAACGTACAGTAATTTTTCCTTTTTTAATTCTAATTTGAATTCATCTAAAATAGCCGACCAAATACACAACATTAATCTTCATAAGGTATAGTAATGAATGTGGTTTGTTTGCCCTCTGGACACTCAGCAGAAGCAGTAACTGACTTTATGGCACGTCAACTCTTTCCAAACACCATAAACAAAAAACCCAAAGGGCACAAGCATTTTTCCCTTTAACCTTGTGGCGTTTTAAACCCCAATCTGATCCTCACATGTGATTAGAATGATGACCACTGATGATTATGAAGTATGACCTGAAACCGGTGACCGAGAAAGTCACTCGGATCTTGTCACTTCCTTGCAAGTGATCCAAAGGTAATTTTTCTTCAGTGCAATCTGAGATGTTCGCAACTACAGGAGCAGAGTCTGCTTTGCAATAACTTATCAGATATGGGTGTTATGTACATTTTTGGTGGCAGCATAAATGGTACCAAATCAAAAAAAGATGATAGAATTCAGAAAGATGACCCGTTAAACATGAATTAATGGTGTCAGAAATCAGTCACTTACACAAGTGTATTTCCACCGCTTTAAAAAGTGCATGTTAAAATTCCAGGTTAGTTTCTCAGAAGCTAGAGTTGCCCAACTTAAAATTAAAAGGACTACAAGTTATGTTTGGCAAAAAATGTTCCATAAGTCAAAAACACAATAAGGAGTTTGCCTGGGTTAAATTAAATTAACTTCCAACTAAAAGTAAGTCACAGCTAGCCCTTCAAGTACACACTGCTCCAGTTTTGGTATCATTTGTGTCTGTGCGTTTGTTTAAAGGAAGAAGGGAAAAAAAGGAGTTCAAATCTACAACACAAAAAGATGCAAGTCTGCGCGCATGTTCTAGAAAACTACTTGCTGCAGTGTCTGCTCCCTAAAGCTTTATGAATGTCCCAGATATGGCTTTGCCCTGTCATTCGTAAAACATTTACAGGACAGACGCTCCTGCCTTCTGCTAGGGAAGCATGCCAGGCTATGATCGCATTTCCACACTAGTAGTCTGTCATTTCTTTATCGAGTCAGACACTACGCCAGGGCAGTCTATCATAGCTCCGTTCTTCTTGAACGGTGTTTGACATGTTGTTGCACATGGTGTTAATTGGACTCATTGAAGTGTGAGGTAGAGCGGTCTGTAGGTGTGTTATAGAACAGAATGGATCGTTTCACTTTTACATTCATTCTCACATTTATTTCTCAGCTGAGAGAGAAAAAACAAAACAAAAACACAATACACATGTTAACTTTAAAAAAAAAACTAAACTTGAGCATAGACAAATCTCAAGTTAGACTGACCAAAAAATATATATATATAAAATACAAAATAACACAAAAGCTAAAACCTCAAGCTAAACAGATTTTTTTTTTCGTCCATTAAAACAGACTATTTTAAGTTGCTGCTGTATATAATCCAAGCTAATGGAAATAAAACAAGTGGAAGGTCAGTTATTCCTCCATGTCTATCACAATCCTTTAGTTCTTTCGTATCGTCATCATCCAACAATTTCACTACCTTAAAAAAAGATCAATCTTTACCAAGTTGTGTATGACAGGACAGGGCTCTGGCTCCAGTCTGCTGTGGTGTTATACTGGTGGAAGTAGCCATGTTGTTGGATGCAAGGTTCAACTGCAGAACGTGAATTAGGAGGGGGGTGGAGGATGATCTGCGCACCGTCTGGATCTCTGGAAGGGTATGGGAGCATACCATACTCAGACCTGCATGGAAGAGTCACACGGAGGTTAAATGTAATGTGACTGATGCCTGGTGCTATTCATCTTGATCTCAGGTAGTCTTTGAGTGGGTAGAAGTGTACCAAGCATTTAAACAATACTGGTTATTTTTAAAATCAGACCTGTATGGTTGGTATGGCACGGAAGCAGGCACCATCTGTTCATCACTGCTGCAGTTGTACTCCCGCAGCAGCAGGGGCTCAACGTGTATATTCTCAGACGGCTCCAGAGCTGAGCCTGAAAGGTGACCTCCCTTCAGTGACTGCTGTGTGGAGGCCCGACTCTCCTCAGTCTGTGTGAACTGAGAGGTGGAGAGCATCCTCTGCAGGCCTAAGAGGGAAATGCAACATTTAAATCTCGGGAGTGTCGCCACATTTTCACACTGCTTTGGCACAACTTACATCACCATAAATTATTTTCTTACATTTTCTTTTAGTATTCATTTAGTAAAAACTTGAAGATAAACATTACAGAAGCTTACTTGGAGAGCTGTTGCTCAAGTCATCCCTGTCCAGTGTGGGTCTCTTAGCACGGGGGCTTTTATTTGACAACCTAAAATATATCGTATATAATAATTTACATGTTCTTTCCAATTAATGTTAATTTCATGTTTACAATGACCTAAATTAAGAAAAACAAATTGAAAAGTATAACAAAATTTAAGTCTCCTGAGAGGCATTCTTACCTCTTACTGTGAGAATGAGTGCCTCCTTCCCTGAAGCCTTTAGCGAAGGGGTTGTGATCAATTTTCAGTTTGGTAATCTTTGAAGAAACAAGAAAAGACAGTTGAATTGGCATTGCAGAATTCTGTTAAATAAAAAGGATGTTCTGCACAAAAATTTGAATGTTATTGACTGTTTCTGGCAGATTTGAACCTTTGGGTTTTGGTAAGCAGTGACTGCAGTGAACGCCGTCTCTGGGAATGAGAAGCTCTGCACAGAGCCCCAGCGGAGAGTGTACGGGTTATCTGCCTGGACTACATGAAACCTCGGGTAGTAGCGATGCATGGAGAGCAGGATGATCTGATTGTAAGGACAAGAAAGCAAATGGTCAAATACAGTGAAGACGACAATATAGGGAAAAAAAAAGGGGGGGGGGGGGGGTCTTACATGGCCATGCTGATCCAAGGTATTGTTGGTGAGCTTAAGCTTGGGGAAAGATAGTGGCTGCTTCATCCAGTGCCTTCCTGGCGCAGGAGAGTCTGGGTGCGTGTATGTACGACACGGGGGGTGGGGGTCTGCTGCTCCTGCGATCTCCCAATGCTCCTTTTTCCACTACAGAGAAATAGTGAAGTTGGGCAGATTCAAGTGTGAGACTTCAGGATGTGTATAATTAAGCAAACTCTTCACGAACCACAAGAAAACCCTACAAACTCACACATGGGGGAGAGAAAGAAAAAGAAAAAAAGCACTCCTTACAGTACTTGACAACCCAATACACTATGCTAAAAGGGAGTGACCCAGTTGGATGGGGATGATTAAAGGGAACAATGCATGAGCTGCTGAATCTATGGAAGGTCAACTACTCCTCATTCACTGATCGGTGATGCTAATTGATTGGGCTTCCAGCCGAGACTGCACTTATAGGCTTGCTTTGATATGCAGCAGTGAACGACCCAGAACGGGCAGACTGAGGTCTGGCTCCAAACTGCAGCCTTTTACAAACAGCACTCTGCTCACTTTAAGGCCAAGAAAGAAGGGGGGTGGGTGGGAGCGAACTAGCTACAGCACACAATCATCGCTTGTTGCATGCGATCATACCTTGTACTTGAAGCCATCTACAGGAACAATGTCCATCGTGATGACGTAGTTGGTAAAAGGCTGGAGCCTGGATACCCTGACGCTGCAGTGTGGAAACATCCTCCTGAAAAGGCACGCACCAAGTCAGAAGCAAAAATGTGGCTCAAATTAAAAATAAACAACTTTTTAAACACTTAATTTGGGGATTTCTTTTTTGCATGCAGGTCCATTTCAAAGTTTCTTCTACCCAGAAACCTGAAAAACAAAATGACGCGCAAAACAGGTCATCCACTTTTATGTGGCCTGCATGAAACAATATGTAAAAATGCACTTTGTGTAGTCCTTTTTCAGGACCTTGTATTATCACCACCAAGGTTTTTTAACCCCCTAAGACCTGAACGCTTTTAATGGCATTTTACCTGACTTATTGTTTCTGAGAAAAATGAGATCCACATATGAGGACATTCGTTTTAAATTTCGATAGAACAGTGGCAGTATAATGTCCTCGAATGTGGGTGTCGGGCCCTTGTAGAGCAAAGAGAGATCTTTGAAAACTAAAAGAAAATACACTCTGGAAGCTACATGAAGATAAACTGAATTCATTGAAAAGCAGTCTTTTCTAATTTTCAGTAAAATGAGAAAATGCTGCTGGATTAGTAACCAGATTGTGTGCTTCACATCGTTCCTGGAAATAATATTTTATTTTGGAGTCATGGAAGTGTTTTAAGGAAAACACAGAGGTCCTTTTGACTATTTATTTAACTGTACCCACTGGATGTGTAACATTCGTCTTCAAAGTTACACATGTTATTTTCTACTCTGTGTTCTAGAGCGTTGACACTAGAAATTAGCAGTTTCAAGTTTCAATCCAATGAGACATGAAGCCATTCACATGCTGCTGTCAGATTAAGGAAAGGGAATACCATGGAGAGGCTAGACAGGCCATGACTATGAAAGACGCAAGTCAAGTTTACTCCCTGAAGTGCCCGTGTCTGTCTTCCAGTGAATGCATCTGCGTTGTCTGATTGCAAGTAAAAGCAGCGATAGAAAATTTAACTGTATAGCACAGTGAACTCCCTGCAAAGGGACAGTCTGCTTTATTAAACAACAAAAGCAACCTCTTCCTGAATCAATAGGCAAAGATTTAAAGATGGGTGCAACTTAAAGCTTTCTTATCTGCTTTTATTAATGGTAGGGGAAGTACTTCTTTTATTTAAAGTAGCAATACCACAATATACCATTACAAGTAAAATACATTAATATATTCAGGTATTAGCAGCAATATAAGAGTCAGCATCCATTTATGTATTTTCATTATTCCTACCTGTAAATACCTACTAAATTGCCACAGGTGTGCATTTACAATAACACCAGACCCCTGTTGCATGTATGGGTTGCACGTGTCACTCAATCAAGTGAGCTATAGTGTGACTGACAGAAGTCATTTTATATGTTGTTATGGCCTGGCCCTAGATGGGTCGTAACATGAATGAAACGAAGAAAAACACTAAGGCTCTCCACCAAAATCCCAAAAAGTGTCTCAAAACGAATTTATTTACATCAAAACACAAAACGTCAAACTATTTACAACGGGGGGAAGATCGCGACCATGACATACTGAAACACAAGGCTTAAATACATAGAAGGAGCAATTAGGGAATGGACCACAGGAGGGAAACACAGCTGGGGCAAATTAAACTGACGAGACAGGGAAAATGTAAACTGAACACACTAAGATAACACAGACTTTCAAAGTAAAACAGGAAACACATGACAGTCACGCAAAAACAAAACACTGACAACACCGAAACGTAACAATGTGTATTCTTTAGGATTTAACTCAAAGACATCAGACGCTGCTACTGCAGGGCGATTGTGGCTCAAGAGTTGGGAGTTCGCCTTGTAATCGGAAGGTTGCCGGTTCGAGCCCCGGCTTGGACAGTCTCGGTTGTTGTGTCCTTGGGCAAGACACTTCACCCGTTGCCTACTGGTAGTGGTCAGAGGGCCCGGTGGCGTCAGTGTCCGGCAGCCTCGCCTCGGTCAGTGCGCCCCAGGGTGGCTGTGGTTACAACGTAGCTTGCCATCACCAGTGTGTGAATGTGTGTGTGAATGGGTGGATGACTGATTGTGTAAAGCGCTTTGCGGTCCTTAGGGACTAGTAAAAGCGCTATACAAATACAGGCCATTTACCATTTCTTGCCTCAGCCAGAACACTGAAGATGGGTCAGTAACTCAAAACATACTGCCAAGGCAACAAAGAGGTGGCACACTAAGGCCATGTTGTGGTCTAGCCATTCTCCAGCCCCCAGTCCTATAGACAGTCTGTGGAGGGAGCTGAAGCATCAAATGCCAAGTGGCAGCTAAAAAACCCTGAAGGAGTTACAGAGTTTCTTTAAAGTGGAGTGGGCCAAAATCGCTCGTGAGATTATTTCACTCAATGCTTATTTCACTCCATTACATGCACATCAGTTAATAACTTTTATGGTTCTGTCTCTCACCATTAAAATGTTCATTTCTATTGAAGTGAATTAGCAGGGGGATCAAATAATCATATCGCCCAACGTTCAAATAAGCAGATAACACATAGTATCAGAAACGCCAATGCAGTCAACTAAAATTTAACTAAAGTTAATTAAAGTGAAAAAGACTGCTAAAAAAAAATATAGCAACACCTTAAAAGAACTTCTTGAAACTGAAAGACAGAAAGATTTTCAGTGAGCCAAACTAGTCATTCTAGCAGTTCTCCAGCTGTTGTGAGAAATACTGATGTCATGAAAAACTGCTGAAGGCACAACACAAAGCACTCTTTAGTGAGCAGAACATGTTCCAAGTATCAGCTTCATTACCTTCCATGTTTTGTGATAATCATCTCTGTACCGATGCTGTGAAAGGACTGCCAGAGATCAGCGTTCTCCAGGGTCACCCTGATGCCACTGGGCTGGTATGGGTGAGCTAACAACGACATGCTCTCATTCAAACTGGAGTCTTGGAAATGAATAAAAAGAATACAAGTATACATGTAAACAGTTCTGCAGCTGTATTGATAGAACCTGGGAATGGTTTACTGCAGCATGAAAAGCCAGCCTCCACATCTGAAGAGGCCTTCCACAGGATCAACAGTTCTCCTCAAGCCAATAAAATATGAATGTACACTCTCTCTGTAAGAGTTTACCTTTTTTTTTTTTTTTATTGTTGTTAGTTTGGGTGCTCATCTCGCATAAGTTATTATTCACCTACAAATCATTACATTTTTCAGACTATAAGGCGCACTTAAAATCCTTTAATTTTCCCAAAAATCGACAGTGCGCCTTATGTATGAATCTGGTTGTGCTTACTGACCTCAAACTAATTTTATGTGGTAGACGGCGCTCAAAAATCTGTCAAAAATGTTTTAGTACAACTTTGGTAAGCTAGGAACCTGCACCACTTGATGGATTGGCCCAAAACTCTGTCCATCCATGAAAACAGAATTTATTAAATTTAACAAAGTTAGAAGTTAGCGCGCTAGTTTCCACCTAAACATGATATAGCATGTTCTGACTGAGAGATTTCTGAAACAAGTAAAACGTACTGCTCTGCTATCACTTCCAACATAAATGAAGACAGAGAAGTAAACAGCAGTGACTTTTTTAGGGTTACTGAAGTTGGGCTACCTGGTATATAATGATGTGGTACGTGATGGCTAACGACATAGCTATGTTAGCATAAAAAATAGTGAAGCTGGAGGATGAAAATTAAGGTTTTTTTGTATTAGTCATTGATATACATGGGAATAGAGCAGCTGCCAGAGAATTCAACATTAATGAATCAATGGTACGGAATTGGAGGAAGCAAGAAGAATGACTTATCTGATGGTTTTGTTTCGCTTAATGCGTCTTATGTATGAAAACAGACTGTTCAACAGTGCGCCTTGTAACCCTGTGTGCCTTATGGCTCGAAAAATAAGGTAATTTATTGTCTTTCTAGAAGATTTTTTGTGTGTCATTTTAAACATGCACATTCATGCAGTACATGGTGTGATAACTGAACTTACCAGCGATATGGTGCAGGTTATCATGTCCTCCTGTCATCTCCATCACAATCACCCTGTGAATCCCTCAAGCTTTTAAACCAAATCCAGCCTTGAAATGGTCAAACTGTAGTGAGAACACTCAGGAGTTTATATCCTTGATCTGTGGGCCTTGAACTCGATTGGTCATAAGAAGAGGGGTGGCCTTTTTTGGGGGGTGGGAGGGGGGGGGGGGGGGGGGGGGGGTTACCTGCTATTTAGTTTCTTTATTTTTCTTTTTAAAGGGCTTGTGTGCAACCATTTGTTGCTTTTTTTTTTTTCCAAACACTGCTATTTAAATTTGAGTCTTGGGAAGAAATAAGATTTTTCCATCATATTAAACCATAAATGTATCCAATAAATTAGTATGTTCCATTCTTTATTTGGTCCATTGACTGCATTTACACGTAGATGGTAGAAATCACGTCTGAACACACCTTTAAAGCCCTCAAAGACAGAAAGGCGGTTGATTTGGCTTTGATGCAAGAACTGGTGTTCTGCTATGTTCAAGGCACACAGTATGCGTGTACTAGACCTGAAACCCATAAAAATATTAATTCCCTACTTTTCTCCTGCATTCCCAAAGAAAACGGACAGCAACCATTTAAAAAAATGCGGGCTGGGGGGAGGGGGGGGGGGGGGGCACGACCCCTCTCGGCAGCTTTGAATGTGTATTGAGAACAAGCTGTTTGAGAGTTTGTGTCTAGCCTTGACAATGATGCTAAACCGGCCAAATGGCCTCATTTACTCAAGCCCCCGCCACACACCCACTCACTACTACTCTCTGGGAAGAGACAGGCAAGCAGTCAGAAGCCAGTTCAAATCAAAGACCGGTGGCAGAAGAGTTGAGCAGCTGTGTTAAAGTTTGAAAACCAAATGCTAAGGATAAAAACAGAAAAAGTGCAAATAGAAAACATCCCTATCTATCTATCTGAAGATCTCTCTGAGCCGTTTTTGATCAAGTTTCAACAGATTTATTTGCACTGAGAGTAATTATGATTAAAATCCTTCATCAAAATTGCCACAGTTCCCAAACAGATACAAAAATGGCATAATGTGCATCTTTTAGCCTTCCTCTGCTTACAAACCACATACAGTAATTCCCATATGTTTAAAAAAAATCACTTTAAAGAACAAAGGAAGAGGCCTGCTGATGCCAAATTTTAGAAGACAAATCTGGATGTTAAAAGTTTCTAAGTCTTTAGGAATGCATACTTCATAGTGCTGTCAGATTATTTACGGTCAGATTTCCCTCTCTACATTTTACAGCCATCTTATAAGGAAGAGTGGCTCGCTTGCCCTGTGAACACATTTCTCCTCCAAATAAAGGGCATGTTGAAACATTTCTCCTCTGCTTAAGTCAACTTCAGGCTTGAAGATGGAATTTGGTCTGCCTACGGCATGGATCACCTCTGAAAGTATGCCACAAAGTCTGTATGGAAAAGTCATAATTTAGCTCTGCTAATGACATTTCATGAGAACAAAGCCTTTTATTAGGAACCAGTTGCTTCTTTACAGGGACATTTGATTAGCATAGTTTTGGTCCCCTTACACTGACAGTTTACTGACTTCAGAGTTGTTCAGAGTGATCACCTTCATTTAATGATGAAACATATCCATCTTCTCTTCCAGGATGACACTACCTCAACCCACAGGAGGCATCATTGGCAGTTATGTAAATCATATCCTTTTAGTCACTACTAAATCCAAGTCAGCTTTAGACCGGTGTGTTGCATTGTTCTCACCACATACAGGAAAGAAGGATTTTCAGTCCTTGCATTAAAGCTCTAGGGAACTTAAGATTAACATCAATAACATGTTGAAGAGAACATGTGGTAGCCGAACACCTCACCAAGACATTTTTGCTGAGATTTGCCTTAATTCGTCACCCATCACCAAAGTTTACATCCTCCCTTTGCACTTTTACCCATGTGATTTAAAACGAATCAAACTGAAAACCACCAAATGATGTTAAAAGGTGAAAGCCACACTATTGTAGGTTGTAAGATATTATCACTAACATTTCTTCTGCATGTCTGTCGTTTTGCTATTTCCAATGCATCAGTTCTGCTGCAGTAAAAATATCTCATGGCACAGGAAATTCTGTGGTTTCAGCAAGTTAGTCTAAACTGCAGCTCAAAGATGCAGCGCATGACATCACCACTGGTAGTTTACACACTTGGCTCTGCTCAGCTCACTACCTGGTGGGCCTTTTCCTACACAGAGGAAGTATTTGCAGCCCACCAAAAAGGTTTTACCAGAGAAAAAGAGGGGAAAGCGTTTTTTTGTTTTTTTTTTACTTTTACACCAATTCAGGATCTTTAATAATGTCAACTCTAAGAAGCATATTTGTTTACAAAATGGTCACAAATAACAGGAAAAGGCATTGATTTTTGTCAGATAAGACGATGAATTCATCTCCTTCAAAAATACTGTAAATGCTTCAGCTAGAACCACAGTTACTGCCAAATGCAATAATACTGAAGCACTTCCACAGGTAAGTGCTTACGAGCTTTATCTTATGATTGCCTATCAGGTATGCTTTTTGACTTGTGCTATGTTTAAAGTGATAAATGTTACAAGGTCAACAGTAATAAAATAGCTGGCTCCTTTTTTTTTTTTAAATGAAGGTGATACATGCGTGCAGATTCATGCATACAGAGATGCTGTCTGACTAACAGGATATGTGTGAAAAATGTGTTAAAAGGAGATTAAAAATTGTGAGACTGCGACGAGAATCTTTGGTCAATGCTGCCACCTACTGGACCCTAAATGGCATGAATACCTCCAAATCACTTTCCTAAAACACCTGATGTCCTCCTGATCAAACGTTCTGCGTAATTAAGCCTAAAGTAAGAGAATTTAATGTTCACTTGAATGTATATTTATTATGATGAGACAGATTTTGAAGGATTTGTTTTTAAATTTGTGATTAAAAAGGAGGTCCAATATTCTAAAACTGTCTGAATTATGTACAGGCTTAATGCAATGACTAAGCACACCTGTGGCTTCTGTGGTTTGGATAAAACTGGGGGCTGCCAAAGTGAACTAATGAATTTAGTATTTTGATGAAATTTTAAAATAAAATGAAATGATGTTTCTCACCTTACGGAGCAATCAGACTCCTGCGTGGACTGACAACCAACTTAAACCACCAGCAAACAATTAGCTATGGCTTGGACTGAACCAAATGATGGGTGAGCACTCAGATGCTCTAATTAGTGCTGTCAAATCCAGAAAAGTGGAAAATAGGTGCATGCTGCAGGTGGGGAAAGAAAGCTTAATTGACAAAACTATTATTGCTACCAAGAAGCAGAAGACAAAACTGAAGTAAAAGGATTCTGTGAAGGTAAAGGAATCAAATCAAATCCATTCATTTCATTGAGAATTCAAATTTATTTATGTGGCTTTGAATGCAAACAACAGCTGCCTGTCTCTAATACTGTAAGGTAGTCCCTACAGTATTAGAGACAGGCCAGCAATCTGATGATCCCCTATGAGCAAGCACTTGGCAACTGTGGGGAGGAAAAGCTCCCCGTTGGGAAGAAACCTCCAGCAGAACCAGGCTCAGGAAGGAGCAGCCTTCTGCCGTGACTGGCTGGGTTTTCAACTGTTGTTTGCATGACTGAGATGGTAAGAGCCTAATTAACCCCATTATACCCCAATTATTAGTTATTTCCCTATTAAGATCATCATAGTCCAGTTAGAGCCAAATAAAGTTGGCACTGACATTGGGTTGTCTTCACCTTTTCCATTTCCATAGAGGAGAATTAAAGGTATTGTGCTAAAAATGAAAGTAAATAAATTAATATAGCTTGAATTTTGTTGACCAAGAACAATAAAATGCAAAGGCAAACGCAAATACAGTCATGCAAACAACAGTTGAAAACCCAGCCAGTCATGGCAGAAGGCTGCTCCTTCCTGAGCCTGGTTCTGCTGGAGGTTTCTTCCCAACGGGGAGTTTTTCCTCCCCACAGTTGCCAAGTGCTTGCTCATGGGGGATCATCAGATTGCTGGCCTGTCTCTAATGCTGTAGGGTGGTCCCTACAGTATTGGAGACAACTGTAGGGTGGTCCCTACAGTATTAGAGACAACTGTAGGGTGGTCCCTACAGTATTGGAGACAAATGTAGGGTGGTCCCTACAGTATTAGAGACAACTGTAGGGTGGTCCCTACAGTATTAGAAACAACTGTAGGGTGGTCCCTACAGTATTAGAGACAAGGCCAGCAATCTGATGATCCCCCATGAGCAAGCACTTGGCAACTGTGGGGAGGAAAAACTCCCCGTTGGGAAGAAACCTCCAGCAGAACCAGGCTCAGGAAGGAGCAGCCTTCTGCCGTGACTGGCTGGGTTCTCAACTGTTGTTTGCATGACTGAGATGGTAAGAGCCTAATTAACCCCATTATACCCCAATTATTAGTTATTTCCCTATTAAAATCGTCATAGTCCAGTTAGAGCCAAATAAAGTTGGCACTGACATTAGGTTTGTCTTCACCTTTTCCATTTCCATAGAGGAAAATTAAAGGTATTGTGCTAAAAATGAAAGTAAATAAATTAATATAGCTCGAATTTTGTTGACCAAGAACAATAAAATGCAAAGGCAAACGCAAATACATCCTACAGCACGTGACATCAGGTGTGCCACATAATGTCTGACCTCTTGGACCATTTTCCAGAACATGTGATGAATAGCCACAATTGCTAACTTGCACATGTTGGACACTGTGGTAATGGATTGTCCTAAAAATCCAGTTCCTCTCCTGATGATAGAAACCCCTCTATGAAGAATCCCATTATGTTCTTCTCTCCCTTCCAAGGGACTAGGTCTTAGGTCTGGGATCGTGGATTCAGCAGGGTCTGATGCATCTCGATTTGTATTTTCCCATAGCTGATGTCTTTGAATCACAGAAGGCTGCTGCTGTATATGTTCAGGGTGAAGAATTTCACACACTTGGTTTAAACCGCTATTCTGATTATGCTGTCCTCTGCAGCTGCTGAAGCGGGGTTCAGGTATATGCTGATCTGGCAATGGTACCTCATGTTCCGTGTGTAAAATTTGGTTACCACAGCGAACTTCAGGTGCCTCGCATACAGTTTGGTCAGCAGTGGGTGAACGTTGGTCACCAAATCCCAACGTTTTTCTCATAATTTTGTGAGCATAAGTGCCCACAGTGCAAATCGCGCCCCAAACGGAGCCTGACATGTCCACAGATATATTTGCCAACTACACGCGCAAGATCAATGAAAACTGTTTTCTACGTGCGACCGTCCTAAAGGTAAACTGTGTTGAAGCACCTCTATTTATAGACTCATGTGGCAGAGATGGTGACGTCAACCGTCACGGGAGACTGTGACGTGCGGTCGACCATCACGTCACAGTCTCCCCTTTGAGAAGATCAAAGGATCAAAGAATAGCTCCGTGTCATTCCGCGCATGCTCAGATCATGCGTATTGAAATGAACGGGATATTTATTTATTCATTTTAAATACCTTACTATATAACAAAGGCGACTGCGCACTCAAAGGAGGAGGAGAGTTCAAAATAGGGCTGTTCGATATAACGACACATATGGATGACGATATGAAAAAGTCTATCGCTTCATATTACGGCAATATTTTTTCATGGTTTTTATGGCTGTATCCCAATTCAGGGTCTGCAGCCTTAAAGTACGCAGCCTCAATGGTCCTCAAGGGCTGCGTACTCAAAGACCGCTAAGGCCGGAAGTGCGAGGCTTGTGAAATGGGACGGTCTAGCCTCCGTCGCGCTGCCCAGGTTGCCTAGCAACCATGATAGCTGGAAACGTGTGGTTGACAGAAATGAAGGAGAATATATTTTGTTCGTTTGTTTGTTTCTACATGAGCTTTGTGTGATTTAATAAGCATCTGAGGCTGAGACCACAGGACTGTAAAACATGATTGTTGCATGCTTGCATATTTCTGAAAACATCTTAGTGGTGTGGCAGCCATGGGTTGAGCCAGCCCTGCAAACCCTGTGGATGGACGATGCAGTGGACAGTGGGAGGAAGCATCCTAAAGCTCTTTTTGCAGACCAGCCTGTGCGATTCTCCACTCGCCGACCAGAAAAGACAAACGGCGGGTCTCAGTTGCAGCACTACATCATGCAGGTAGCTGTTCAGGAGACACTTGTGCAGCAAGCCTGGCTCAGACACAGGTTCCTAAAAGCTCCCCGTCTGCACCTGTGCCTTCAACTGTTTCGGCTTGTCCTGCTTGTGCCGCCTCCTCTCCTTCTTCTTGGTAGACATCAAGTGTTGCCACACAGATATTATGTGGAGGATGCAGCAGGCCCCCACAACTTTGGGAGGAAACAGAGGCCGACCCTCAAGGGCTCACAAGAAGATGGAGTGCCAGCGTGTTTTGAGGATGCACAAAGTAGGATCTTTAATATTTCTGGCCTTTGCTGAGCTCTGGCTCTGCTAGTTTCACTGTTTCTCTGTTGGGGAATCCTCTCACACTCAAACTGTGAAATATGCTCCACTCCAGTCCACTGAATGGCTGTGGAAAATATGAAAGAGGACATAACTTTACACATTAACTTCTAACAATTTAAGCCCAAAGAGTCATCCTGAGAAATGTCATTTAATATGCAGCATTTCATTATCACGTTAAAAAACAAACAAACCCCACATACTGCTTAAGTTGCTGCTCTTTGAGATTAAAAGATCTCATTACATTAACAGAAACACTGACATCCCTGCTCTACAGCTTTGCATTCAGGGGGTGTCCTTGTCACAAAGATCAATTCAGACACTGAAATCTTTTCAATTTTCTTTTTTTATTAATTTAAAAAATTTTCCAGATGTCAAACACAAAGTATAGATATCAGCACCTTGGAATCTACTGTGATGGCTTAAAAAAGTTGGAGGTCCAACAGCTTTGTATTGAAGCTCCCTCACACCTACAATTAAAATTTTAGTGTTGAAAATAATACATTTTATCTGTCAATACAAATGTCTGAGAATCTTTACCAATAATGCACCATTACATTTTGATCACTTCAGCTGTTGGTTATCGGCAACTGCAAAAGTTACCAGCCTGGCAGAGGGCATTTCATCAAAACAAAGCTTCTTAGAAAGTATCACGTCTATGACCTGGGGCCCGTTCTTCGTACCTCGCTAAGTAGGTTAGCCGGATTAGATTGTTGACGATTTCGCGTGATCCTGGATCAGTCGGTTCCCCGAAGCTCATCCGGGACTTGCTGTCATAGCAACAGAGCCGTAAGCGTAAACCTGCTCGGGAGCAGGTTTACTTTATGTAAACAGGATTAGATCGCGGCCACGCAGGTATGTCCGCGTCATTCATACGAAAGCAACAGCGATATTCCACCACTGTTTCAGCATAAATAAATAACATCAATGTAACTAAAGACAATGCAGCACCTGATCCATTTATTGATTTCACACAGGTCATTTCCTAAAAAAGGGAAATGTACTATTAACATTCTATTACATGTATGTGATTATTACAGATTTAATTCATATTTCAGAGTAGCAATTGTAAATTACTTCGTGTAATCAAGATGAGAGACCACGGCTATAAAAGCGAAGGTGGATTTGGGAAGTCTGTCGCAGCCATGTCCTGTCCGTATACGCGAGCCACCCATTGCGGAAGGTGCAAGATTGATAAGGAGAGTCCTCAGAATTCAGCGTATATTGCGGGACAGACAGGATCCTTTAGCTCAGCGCGACAGTGTGCTCATAGAGAGATATCGATTTTCCCGTGAGGGTATTATTTACTTAACCAACTTGTTGACGAGGGGGTGCAGGACCACCACCTGTCTTTTGTTGCTCTGCCCTTTTCTTGGTTGCTGTTATAAACAAACAGATTATTCCAGGGTCTCTTTCCAAGAGACTAAAAGCAATATAAGTGATAAATATTACCATTCTGTAGAATATTCTTATATTTCACTTTTACCTGTTCCCATGTTCTAGTGGGTCCTGTCGTGGCTCTAATGTGACAGAGGATAAAATATAACATATTATAATATAATGTAATATAATATTGGATAATATAGTGTAATATAATAAATCTACCCTACCGCCTACTGGTGTTGGCCAGAGGGGCCGATGGCGCGATATGGCAGCCTGGCTTCTGTCAGTCTGCCCCAGGGCAGCTGTGGCTACAACTGTAGCTGCCTCCCCCAGTGTGTGAATGTGAGAGTGACTGAATAGTGGCATTGTACAGCGCTTTGGGTGCCTTGAAAAGCGCTATATCAATCCACTCCATTATTATTGTTATTATTAAATTACTTACGAGTTTAATTTGTCAGCAACTTCCTGCCAGCCCTCGCTCCTTGCTTTTGCAGCCTTTGCAGTGTTCCCTTGCGTTCTGATTAAACTCTGAAACTCCTGAAATCCCTCACTCAAGAGTTCTTGCTCTGCTGCCGAAAAATACCGAGCCGGGCGCGCTCCGTCGACATTTTCGCCGACCAATCAGAGGGTTGCCGATCAATGTTTCTATCGATGCGTAGCCCCTTTTACGACACCCAGTGATGTCACATTCCTGCGTCCAGCTGTAGTAATCGTCAACAGCAGGTGTGTTCGGGGAACCGGATTAGCGAGCTCACGGTTAGCGCGATGATTTGATCTTGGATGTGTCATTTGATCTTGGATGTAGTAAGCGACGTACGAAGAACGGGCCCCTGGATAGAAAAGAACCACAGACTGAATACAAAGGATGGATTGTAGCCACTGAAATGAGAAAGAAAGGGCAAGCCTTTGCTGTTCCAGGACAGCAGGAGCTGAATGTAAAGGAGAAAAAGTGGAGGGTTTGGATGCTACGTCCATCTTTTGCATACAGTCTATCATCTAAACAGAGAGGCAAGTGACCTGCAACAGTCATCAGTGTTTCAGGAGCTTTTTAAAGGCGACGTATTACACATAAGAGCCAGATAAAATGAGCTGTTATGAAGAGTGTTTAAGAGAATTTCTGCTCTGCACTGGTCTAATTGCAGCTTTGACCAAAGTCAACAATCATTGTCTTACCACTTTGTTCAATCATCATCATTACATTCATGAACCAGGCTTATAGCAGCTGGTATTCTTGTTCATCTAAATACAACAAAACCCCCCAGAGAGATAACATAAACTGATTAATATTACTATCAATTTCCCTTCAAGTCCATCATACATAATCAAAGCAAATGTAACCCATATCAACTACTCCCTGTCACATGACCCACGTCAGCTGATTTGAGGTCCCTCTTCTGATTGGCTCCTCCCACGTCGCGGCAACTCTGAAAACCGGCTGTGGAGGGATACTTCCGGGTTCGACTCCTGCTGTGGCTGTGAGCTTATGGCATTTAGAACGGTGTTGGAAAACAAAGCGTTTTCTCCCCTCAATTCATCTTTAAACTTTAAACTCAGCGGTAAGTGTCCTTAATATCTTTCAACTTTTGGTTGACAGTAACCAGCCGATCGTTTTCGCGATTAAAAAATGACTTTGTGCGGCAGCGCTCCCACCGCAAGCAGAACTCCGGTTCAAAAACCGCTGTTTTTGAACACTTTTATTTACTTAAGCATGTTAATGGGCTTACTTTGAAACAAAGTGCGATTGAAAGATTATTGTTATGTGTTGCCTTGAATTCGGCTATGCTGTCTGTTAGACAGTTGTTTTTCTTTATTGTTGTTTTTGTATTGTTTGTAGCGAACGCTACTGGAATGTATAGATTAAGCTACGTAGCCAAGATGATTAATGATTTAACTGTTTTACATTGATTGATGATGATTTATGATTTGCATTGTTACCTAGACTTGCAGAAGAGCATATTTTTTTACCGGTAAACTGAATTGAACTTGATGTGCTAATGGACATTTTTCTGACCTACAGGTCAGGTTTTTTTTCCCTCTTTGAATTGATCTTCTTCATATTGAAGTGGCGAGCCGGTAGGACCATTCTTTCTTTTCCCCCCACTTAGCCGTCTTTGGATTACGGACATATTTCCCCCTTGTATGAAGCTGGACCCTAAGGAGGAATACCTTAAAAGTGAACTTTAAAAAGAAAAGGACCAAAAAAAGGACTCTTAGCAAAAGGACTCTTGCACAGAAAAATCACAGCACTGATTTATTATTTAATTGTGGACATTTACGTTGTGTGTTGTGTTAATTATTTTGTTCCATTTCCCCTTTCCCCTATTTATTCAATACATTTTTGGTACAAGACATTGCAGTTTTTGGTCTCATCATTCACACCATCTGGGCTCCATAAAGAACTATTTCTTCTGCGCGTCAGTCAGTAAATTCATCCATTGACATAAACTAGTCCTTAAATAACTTAGCGTTACACAAACCCTAGAAAATAACAACCTAAAGAAAACACTGATGATATAACTGCAATTGTGCAATATTTAGAGACAAGTTATCTGCTGTGGTCACACAATGCTCTTATAACACTGTAATAAAACTTAACTCATGGATCAACATGTGGCATACACCAATCAGGCATAACATTATGACCACTAGCAAAGTGAGTAACACTGATTCAGACTATTCAACACGGAGGCCACACCTGGCATCTTGGTGCCAGATATCATGTGATGGGTCAGGGCCGCTTTGGCAGCAAAAGGGCGACCAACACAGTGTTAGTTAGGTAGTCATAATGTAATGCCCGATTGGTGTATCTGAAAGACTGAAATGAGACAGAATAAGGAGCCTTTCGTTCAATAAAGGTCAACCTGACAGAGAGAAATAGCAGAGCCTTAAAATTTTCCATGATAGAGGACGTTTGTTCTATAAATGATTACATTATTTCTCCAAGAAGGAGCTGAGGCCGCTTTTACCTTAATGCTACATAAAGTATAGTTGTGTATCGTTTAGGGAGTGGGTATGTTTTGGACAGCTAAACCTGAGGTTTCTTTGTGAGCCACTTCCCCGTCTTTGTGGTTTGTTGAAAACGAAATGTACAGTGGCTGCAGCTCCTCTCTGGAACCACGCTGTTAGACAATAACTAATTACATTATTTCTCCAAGAAGGCGCTGAGGCTGCTTTTAGCACGGCGGGCCTTCTCTATGCTCTCAAAGGTTGGAGTCCCTTGAGGTAACTGTAGACGGTCATTTTCAGTCTCCATGATATTCTCAGCTTCCCCTAAAGACATCATGAAAAACACATTTAATGGGTATAATTAGTGACTGCAATCTTTTTTTAAAAATGTCATTAATGAATAACTAAACACAATATTTGTTAAACATTTAGATGCATTATTTGGTAAACAGTAAGGTCCATTTGGACAGAGACTTTTTCTTTTTTAGCATTTTGGTTCTGTTCATTACCACAATTAATTTTAAATATAACAACTTTAAATATAATTAACTCAGATCCAGTTGAACTGCCGACTGTCAGCCTTAATTCAGTGGGTTGAACAAAAAGATTGCACAAAAATGTGAGAACTAAAATGCAATCCCATCATTTCAGGACATCAAAAGTAACTGGACAAATAAAATAAAATGTATTCATTTGAATCGTGCTAATGCAAGCGCCACACCTCAAATCAACTCCAGGGCTTCTATCTGCTTAATTGATAATGACATAACAAAGGAAGTGCCCACACCTGCCCATGAAATAGCCTTTCAGTCAAATGTCCAATTACTTTTTGTCCCTTTAAAAAGCGGGGGGCACACGTTAAGGGGCCGGAACTCCAAAACCTTCATCCGATTTGAATGTGGATTTTCTCATATGAAAGCTGGGCGTCTACACATTATATAGATGCCCATCATAGCGGAAAGTGGAAATTGTTTTGGTAAACAGACACTATTCACGTATTTAAATATATATATATATATGGACCTAACTGTATATTAGAGCCTGTGTTTTCTGGATATAGTGAGTCTGTGTTCTGCTGTTCAAAGTAAAATAATCCTCTAAAACCAAAGCAAAGAATCACTATATAATGCTTGATAAGGATTTATTTACCCGTCTGTGCACCCTCTTTTTAAATGTTAAACAGGTTTCCTTAAGATGATGATGCCTGTAAGTGTGTAGCTTTACCTCTCATACGATTAATAAGCGTTCCATAGGCGCTGTCCATCTGGTAGGCAAATATGAAACTGAGAGGTATGATGGGAGCCAGCATGCCTGGGTTCTTTCTTTTAATAGCTCTAAAGAAAAATGATGATAAACAGAAGACAATATTTAACTGCAAAGATAAAAGCACAACACAGAGATGAGTCTGTGTGTGTTTGTGTCAGATCTTTGTGAGGTGTTAGAATCTCACCCTGCAGTTAGTCCCACTGTGGCCACCGCAAAGAAACTGCCAAAGTATTTCAGAAACTCTCTGGACCAGGCGATCTGCATCGCCATCTGCCGCTCTCTCATCTGGTTCTGCATCAGAATCTGGCGCTCCATCTGGGCACATGCACGCGCGCACACAGACACACAAAAATAAATTAAGAAGAAATGATGAAATAAAATTTTCCCTGCTTGGTAAGATTTCATTTTCAGTTATAATCAATTTCAGTCAATTACTGTTGATCAGAGCTGTAATAATCATCTGATTCATCAGTTAATTGTTTTATGAGAGTACAGACAGTTTAAAGAGATCTCCATAAGCACCAAAGGCTTAGCACTTTTTAAAAAAGCCCCTAAAAACTTGTAGGAAGTGTACATTACGTGAACAGAGATGTGATTAGTTGGGAGCACAGACTGAACTTCTATGTATGCTTGAGAAGTTTCTTTGGAATTTTTTTTAAGTCATGAAACTAAACCCTGGAATCCACTGCTGTAAACATGCCAACTACAAACACTACGCTCTAGGGAAGGAGGAAGTGACAAACTTTTCATCTCCACAATCTGGGTGTTTTGTACTCCTGACATCGACTCTTGGCTGTACACTCTTTAGGTTCAATGGAAATTACAGGAATGACTTCTGTAATTGACAGTGTTTGTTCTTTTAAAGCCAGCATCCGCTGAAACAAACTAGTGAGTAGTCTGAGCACACTTAAGGGTGTCCCCCTTTAACGGCCCATGTTGTGAATGAGTGAAGAATGCATTTATGAAAAGAAAGCATTTCCCGCTCCTCCACACCATGTGTATGAGCTGCAGGAACGGGAAATGGGGTGACACGTTCGCTGAAAGGTCAGCTTTCATGACGGCTTCATCTGGGTCACAAAAAAGGAAGTAAATGGAAGATAGAGGATGTTAAATTTGAATAAACTATCCTGAAACTCACTCCAGCATCTAAGTACATAGATGCTGCAGGGTCTCCATCTTATAAAAATGAAGCAGTTCAATATGCCCATATACACAAATACGTAACATAAGTAAAGATCACTGCACATCTTTGCTCAGCCACCAGTTTCACATTATTAGTTAGTTTGTCTCCAAAGCACTCAACCTGAAATGGCCCTCTGATGTACTCATTCCTAATCATGTCCTTCATGGTCACTCCAAACAAAAAAATCTTAACATCTTCAACTCTGTCACCTCCAGTTTTCCAAACCACACATCATAGCATCTTAAAAACCTTTCCTTTCAGTCTGTAACTATCCATCACAAATTACCGCTGACACTCGTCTCCACCCACTGTTACTTTGGATGGTTGGATGCTATTTAAACTCATCCACTTTCACTGCCTCTGCTCCTTCAATATTCTGCCCATCTCCCTCTCATTTTTGTGCTGATGCCAAATGACTCATGAGTGTTTATAATAATGAACACTTATAACAACAATAATAATGATAATGTGTCATCTACATTAAAGACTTCAGGGTCTTTGTATAACATTCTTTACCATTTTCTGTTTCTACAGGCTGTTTGTATGGGATAGCTACGAACCCATAAGTGATAAATTAGCCCTATCAGTGTAGATGTGCAATTCAAAACTAGACAAACATATCTGCTGGTGGGAATATCAAAAGGAAAAGATTTGGTTTTGGAAAGCTCAGACAAGCAGCAGACTGTGACTCTGGGACAGGACTGGAAAAAGCAGAAATGAACCAACGCAGTCTGAGGGTGACATTTGTGAAGGGTGCAAGTATGAACACAAAGCGGGACACTAACTTGAAAACAGATGCACACAAATCATCATGATCTACACATTGGAAGAAGGAAAAGAAACAGATGTAACATGTGAGAAAGAAAAGCAGAGCAAATACATGCGGAAAATATGTGCAGCAGGTATTCCTGATGAATGCAAAATATTTCATGTTAGGGTTTTTTTGTGGATTAAGGTTTTTTTTTTTTGCATGTTTGCAAACTTTGACTTTTGGGCACTCTGTATGCTCTCATGCTTTTAAAAATGATTTATCCAAAATTGGATATGGAGTAATGTTCCTAAATGCACTAGTAAATCCACAAAGAAAGGACTCAAGGAGAAGACCTGAGGTGCCTAACCAATGCTAAGATTTCAATTCTATTGAAATATTGCCAGGGGATTGAAAATAGGCATTTAAAAAAGCATCTTACAGTTACAGTAATTTGGAAAGATTTCAGAAAGCTTTGACCCTCTTTGACTCCATCTTTCCAAAGAAAGTTCCTCCTGCTTAAGACAGCAATATGAACATCTGAGCCCAGTGGTGTATTTCCACAGAAGAATTTCTTTTTGTGACTAAAAATTGAGGAAGAGTGAGGTTAAAGCTGAGTGTATGCTCACCCCAGTCCAGAAGCCATAGCATGATCTTCACCAGGGTAACAAACTTTTTTTCTACCTGTGCAAGTTTCCTCTTTAAGTAGAATCACAGTGGTACCTGCTGTGAAATCACTTTGGGCTGGTTTTTGACTTTGGTGTGTAGTAATACTTAAACACTAAAAGAAAGATGGTATGCGTGTCGTCATTAGGACAGGGGTTTGTGTCAGTGTGTGGGACAAAGGAAGTAACGCACAGTGATCACACTACTCAGACAATGAGCAGTGTAGTTAATTACCTCCTCCAGAGAGTAGTGGGAAAGTAGTGGGTCTAAATGGATTTGGTTGTAGTCATAGAGATTAAAAATGTTTGCAGACCTACAGTTGCTGTGGATGTCTCCTGTACTCATGGAGCTGATACAAAAATAATGCAAATAAACAAGTGCACAATTTAAACTTAGTCCGACATCATTTCAGCATCTGCAACTAGTACAATTTCAAGTATGAAGGTAAAACCTTTTGGTGGGAAGGTTTGGGGCAATTTTATGTGTTAAAAAATAATTAAAAATCTGCTTTTTTTTTTTTTTGCTTTTTCACTTTCACCA